TCTTGTCGTAAAGTTGATGATTCCTATGATAATGGCAAACATGCCTCAAAACATGGCCATATGCAACTGGAGAATTCACTTTTACCCTTTCTTCTGTTATGAACTGACTTTTATAAAAATAAACCACATAGTTTTGGTCATTTAAATATAACAAGTGAAGTTGCTAGCATCTTTGTTATAAGGATTCTCAAATAACATTGTAACTTCTGTTTGATTCTTCATCAACCATTCTTGCTTTTAGTTGAGTCTTCAAGATTTATGGAAGTTAGTCAGCGCAAATTTACAGTGAAATACGCGAAATCAGTGCTGAAATCACCCCGGCAACATGTCAAAATTTTAGGCAGACGACACAGACGTTCCTCCATGCGAGGGGAGAACGGCAGCGGCAAGATTGCCATTACCGAAAAGACACCTTTGCTAATGGCTCTCATCGCCTTTCGTTTGCTCAATGCTATGATAATACGGACCACTTTTGTGCCAGACGAGGTGTGGCAGTCAGTTGAGGTAGCACATCGTTGGGTCTACGGGTAGGCTTTCACTTTGTTTCTGCAAATCGTTCACTTGCTTGATTTAACCAACGTGAATGTGCTACTGACAGTATTAGAAGTAGCATACTATAAATTTTTTCGATCATTTCGATGCAAGAAGTGAGGAGTTCGTGATTCAATGTAATAAAAATGTATTCATATGTGATGGTCCGGATAGAAGTCAAACGCTTTTTTTCATTTTTGCTAAACCTGATTTATGGGCTTATTGTTGTGGGAAAATCCTTTGCACACGAAAATGCAAAAGTAGATTCGGAGCGCTAACATGGGAGTGGACTCCCACAGTGGCAATCCGCTCCCCACTCTACCCCCTCTTCCTCGCTGGGATCTACAAGGCATTAGCCCTCTCTGGCGTAGACTCTCGTGCCGCAATCGTTCTTCTTCCTCGCCTCTTCCATGGTCTTCTCACCGGTGTGACTGATTTTACCATCTACTTGATGGCTATTCAATTAAGCGGAAAATTGTCTGCTGAGGTAAGCGTGAATTCACAAGCTGTGGTGAATATGAAACGTTTCCCCTAAACAGTTGTTAAAATATCTGCTTCAATGCCAGTCAATTCATGTCAATTCAGAAGTCCGCACTCAGTTGGATCTTTATTTTTAGGCTTGATCTCATTTGCGCCTTTTGTTCGAAAAACAAAATAGGGTGATAAATTCATTTCTCGATTGCATTTTACAATTCTAAGGAAAGAGAAACACCAGCTTCTTTTTGGTTCATGATGCTGTCGGTTCGATTGCTGAATCGGTCCTTGTGTTGGTAAAATCTAACTTTACCACAATAGACAGTAGCCAATTTTACTAAAATGGGGTGAGAATATCAAATTCAGGGTTTTTCCAATACAGTGGGTGCTGCTGGCAGAGACAACGAGCTGGTTCACGGCCTACTGTGGACCACGCAGTCTCAGTAACAGTCTTGAGTGGACGCTGCATGCAATGGCCTTTCGCTATTACCCTTGGCCACCGAGACTTGGTTTGGATTCCGCCTCCACCACTGCCGTTCCCTTTCTGTTTCATGTCTGTCTCTGCATCCTGCTTCGTCCAACTGCAGCTGTACTCTGGGTCCCCGTGTGCCTCCATTACCTTCTTCGGATTTGGTAAAATGATCCCATTTCATTTCGAACACCACCTAAGTTGTTGCATAAAAAA